TTGCGTCGCAAAGAGTTCCTAGACAAATTCCTGTAAAGGCATCGTAATTTACACTGCAGATTAACTTATATTTCAGTATACTACCAAACGAGATCCCACACACGATTTGTAAAATTATTATGAATAGGACATTACCAATATTTTCAATAATTGTCATCTCAAACATGGAGTATAGTATAAGACACATTAAAAGCGCTTGAATGAATGCAAATAATCCACCCACCAACATGCAGGAAAACACTTCGTCTACCAGTTTGATTCCTAGAAGGCATGTGTATATTCGTAGTTTAGTTTAGGTTTACTTACCTGCTAAGTAACTTCTGGAAGGAATTGATTCATGTTTATAGACAACGTGTCTTACAGCAATAACAAAAGCAATTATGTGGAACACAAACGAAAGTGCCATTCCTGGTGCCATGTGTTCCACATTGGGGGTATTTGCTGCTCCAAAAATAGGATTTTCAATCTACTAACAGAAATCAACACAATCTATAAGCAGATCGCCCTAGAGTTACCATTAAAAATTGTTCCAAACTGAAATCATCTCCGCGTTGCATCTTATAGCTTTTCAGTAGTACACTTTTTATAGCACTAGAAATACTAAATTCAATTGTACTGGAGATTATTTTGCTTGTCGTATCCAGATATAGGACAATAGGTGGATAAGGCATCTTCTTTTGCGTGCCAAGCATCATGTCCGCGATAAATTCCTCAAAGTACGTTGTACAAGTGTTGTTGATCACCAAAATTGCCAATATGTCCAAATTTTTTGCGGCGTCAAACGCTTCTTTCTCTGAATCGAAATGGCGGATGTTGATGATATACTGATCGACAGAGGTCAGTAGTTTACAACTGACCAGTTTGAACTGATTACATGGAAAACTGTTCCATTCGTAATTAACGCTACCCACACGTAACGAATGCGGATCCGTGCCTATGGCTGTGCAAAATAAAAGCAGAAATAGAGTGGGTACAACTAAAAACAGCAGCAGCCAGCCATAATTTCGTAGCGCAAGCGTAAAATCGCGTTTAAGGAGCACGTGCCACTTTTTAAGTTTCTTGTAGCAATCGCGTATCTGCTTGAAAGGTTCATGCATTCGTGGTCTTGGTTCGCGAGGAACTGACTGTCGTATATGTTCAACTGTTTCCTCCCCGCTGTACAGAAAACCAGCCGAGGAGCTACGTGGAATAATCACCACGGGGGCATCCTCTTCTGGTTCGAACTCCCGGATCTTTTGGGGGTCTGATATATACGTTCTACAGTACAAGCGCTCTAGTGTTTTCTCCTTAAACCTCGTCAATAGTTCTCTCGGGTTACCTTCTAGTAACACTTGGCCGTCTCTCATAAATCCTAGTCTGTCAGCCCATCTTGCCTCGTCACATGTTTGAGTTGTTGTAAGAATAGTCTTGTCTTCTCTGCACAAAAGTTTCATATGCTCCCACATGCTGTAACGACCTAAACTTATACCTGTGCACCGATACTTGCGCGCACAGTAATAGCGTACCTGCGCGTTAATTTTGGATCAAGACCATCACATGGCTCATCTAAAATAAGCAACTCGGGTTCGTGAAGAAGTGCAATGGCAAATGATATCTGCTTTTGAACTCCTTCGGGATAGGATTTTATGTATTGCTGTTCTTTCGGTGGCAGATTCAGTAGCTTTACTAAAAAGTAAATTCTTTCTCCAATGTATTCCTTTTCCAGACCAAGCAGCCTGCCATAGTAATGAAGAGTTTCGTTCACAGTGAAATTCTGGTATAAACCTCTAGATTTCGGTATGTACCCAACGCGTATTCCTGGTATTCCACTTAGTTCATGTCCAGGATCAAAGCCAAATACCTACGATGAAGCAATTGAAATTACTATTTGTGTTCTCCCCACGGTTACCTTTACACTACCCGCCGTTAGTTTTGTAAACCCTAAAATAATGTTTAGTATTGAACTTTTTCCACAGCACTGTGGCCCTAGAAGCGTATATCTACATAATGAGTTAGTAAAACGTTCTGTTTTGTTCTGCTACGTACATTTCTCCTTCATAAACGGTTATATTAACGTTATTCAAGACGGGACGCCAATGGCGCCAATATCCGTAGTTTTTATATCCGTCCGTGATTTCTATAGTCGGATGAATTATTCTTTTGTGAAGTGTTGCGGGTTGAATCACTCTTGAGGATCGAACTCTCGCCGGTTCTGGGAGCGGCAGATGGGTGGTAGCCAGTTCCTTCTCTTCCATTGAAGTCGTAGTGACATTGACGTTTTTGTTTGTGACACTTGCTCAACGCAGGTGATTGAAAGTAATAGTACTATGATAACCATGGCGCCGACGTGATGATGTAAGCCTACTGTTACTCTCGCATCAATCAATGTTTATCTTCAAACGTTATCGGCGGTGACCTCCAAACATATTAGCAAACATTCTATTAACCCAGTTGTAAAGATTCACTAAATTAACATCGATTTGTTGATAAATTTGAGTTCGAAATTATTAAACTATGAAATTACTACTTCTGTGGACGCTTCTAGTGGTTTTAATTCCTAAAGTGTTCAGCTGGTATGCTTTGGAATACATTAATTTTACAAAAGGTGTTGAATACTTTTTCTTGCTTCTGTAATCACATATTGCTTTAGAAACTGTTGACGAATGCCACAGTGTTGACCCTAAGATGGAAGTCATGAAAAAGGGGGAATTTCGACCAATGAAAGATTGTACGCAGGCAATTTGTGGTGACAAGGGAATTTTGTACATGGGGTAGGTATCCATTTAACCGCTTTTCCAATTTGAATCATGCTTGATACAGTACTACTATAATGAACGGTTTAATTTTAGATGCACCCGATTGGAGGATAAAAATTGTACTCAGATTATAGAAGGTAATAGTACCGCAACGTATCCAGATTGTTGCTCACAGTGCATACAGCAAGTTAATTCTACAAAAGTTACTTAGTTTTCGTTTATATTTTTAACACCTGATGATGATAATGATACGAGCACTACAATTTGGCGTTTGCAACATTAAAATTTTATTGAGAACCGCTGACTTTTAGTTAAATGGGGGCTATTGTCCTATTCTTTTAAATGTTGCAGTGGGAATTCCCGCTACTTAACGACCTAATGAGAAATGTTAAATTATTGGTGAAACGAACTATAGGATTACAAGCAAATTTTAAAGTTTATTATTAAGAAAGTGAATAAGGGTTATTTGTTAATAAAACAAGATGTTATTTTCCCCAATCAATTTATATTTGTGCTGTACATATATGTTTCGGTCGTGAATTCGCAATGTAGGCCAAAAAAATACGGAAAGACCTTTTTATATCTCCGTCAGTTATGAACCGAATTGCATGAATTTCAAAATGAACATAGCTTTACCCAAGGTTGGTATATTACAGTAACCTTGAGCTTTACCCGAGCTTTACCCATATAATACGTAATGCTAAACCAAGCCATGCCCAGGAGCTCGTTTGGTATATTTGACAGGACAAGACATTAATTTGGCATAAAGTGAAGTTAGCTCTTTCTTCCTGGATTTTTTATTATACCATGGTTATGATGATCGTGAGTAGCGTAATTACACTGATCACAAATCAAATTTTTGAGAAGGTTGTGTTAATATGTGACGCTTTAGGCACACGTTATCAATTGTAGCGTAATTTATTGACATTGTTCAACTCAAAATTCCAAATGTGTAGCATATTCAAACCCAATTTGTCTACAAAACGCTCAACTTTACAAGATTAATCCAAACCACTACTCAACGTGCACGGATCACATTTAATATTTTTGAAAGTACTGTGATAAAATGTGACGTTTTAAACTATCCTTGCTCTTATTAATATTATTATATTAAATTAAGGTGTAATTGCAAATGGCATTTTTGCAAAAACAGAGAACGCAGCAAATCGACATGAAGTTATTATCACAAACATTCAATAGCAGAAAAACCGGAAAGGTACAGTTGTATTCATCATTCTTGATAATTTATTGTATTATTCAGGGCACGTTTTTATATTCAGTTTAAGATTGAAAATAAATATAATAATGAAAGAGGTCATGACTTGATGTCACAAAATGCACACAAAAAATTTGCGGGGACAGGCAAGTAATTTAAGAGTGTACATTTCAATTTGGGGGACGTGGGGGCACTATTCTGTACTACAACCTAATATAACATACGTCGATGTTCGTTCCTATACAGGGTGTTTCGAAATTCGCGCACAGGGACTGTGGGATGGTGTTATACAACGAAAACTGAATAAAAACTTCCTTTACCAGTTTTTGACCAGACCGGCACTTTTCGAGTTGTCGTTCGAAAAATCAGAAAATGAAAATGCCCGAAAACAAAAGATAGTTCAAATCAATTTACTGTAATTATCGTACAATTCAAATTGCGAAATAATGGCCGGTAATTATTCAAATCGGAAATATTACGATATGCTGATGCCACTTGAGGCTTGAATAATCGACGTTTGAACAACTGTTGTAATTACGTACTCGTCATAATTATAGTTTATTTTGAACCTTCTTTTGTTTTTAAAAATGTGTTATTATTAAGTTTAACCAGTGCGCAGCGTAGGGGGGCAGAGATTTTTAAAACGGTGGTAGCTCGAAAAATAGCGATCTGCTGGAAAACTGGTAGAGGAACTTTTTGTTCAGTTTTTGTCGTATAACACCATCCCATAGTCCGAATGCGCGAATTTGGAAACACCCTGTATAACTTCATATTGCTGATAAGGTGGACAGATAATTACAAATCCATAATATTTATACCTGATCATTGAATGACCTGGTGAAGTTTTCGGATGATAGTCTTGGATTAAATAAAAGAAATCTATTTTACGATCAGGGATAGATTCAAGTATTCGTTGCTAATTTATGAGAGGGGGCCATGAGTTTGACAGGAAACATTGGTAAACAATTCACTAAAAAAAGAGTTACCCGTAAAGAAAAGAATAACATATTAAAACATATTTATTATAAATTAACTAAAATGCTCAAAAATTAAATAAGTCATCCAATATTTATTATTTTACAAATAGGTACAAAACTGTATGCATAGTCAGCACCGCATACAAAAAATCTGTCCGCAAACATATCATCCTCTTTTAAACCTTAAAACCAATAAACTTATCGTAAGAAACAGTACAATCCATATCGTCGTTGAAATAAAACCTAAATAAACGTCTTTTTCTACAATAGACCATCCTCTTGTTAAAATTGATCTAAGCGATGTTGTGGCCAACGTTAACGGTAAAAACGTAGATATATAACGAAGGACTGTTGGCATTCCTTCAATTGGCCAAATAACGCCACTGAGTAGTAATGTTGGGTAAAAACTGCCAAGGGCGAGCTGTATAGCGTTTCTTTCCAACTCGCAGACTGCTGAAATTACAAAACCAAAGCACATTCCGCACAGCCCTTGAAGAATCGTTAAAACTATGACCCATCCGATATCTCCCTTGCATTCCACGCCAAAAACCAAAATCATGAATATTAACACTAGAGCCGTTTGACCACACATAACTACGAATTGCGTAACCACATGTGAAAATAGAATTTCGGCCGGAGTAACACCTTTAAATGAACAAATGTGAGTCAGCGCAAGCTCGCATAGATGTAACTTACCAGCAACCCAGGATCTATCTAGTAAACCTTCCATACGCTCGATAATCAACGCCGATGAAGTCAAAGCTACAGCTAAGAAGAACACAATGCTAAAAATCGAATGATCAGTATATCGTCGTTGAAATTAAAAAGATACTTACGTTAAAATTACACCTGGAGCAACAAAGTCTGTAAAGGACGGTTCCGTGGATCCATAAAGTGGTTCTTTGAACGAAATAGGAATTTCAGCAATCTTGGGATTTTGGTTGCACGACTTTAGGAGTTCTCTGGCGAAGTCTTGATACGAAAGCTGCAGATCTCTTTGAAGTATGACACCGATTTGTTGATCTGTAAAAGAAGCGTTAGTCTCAATAAATTTACATACACTGGTAACTTACTGGACATATCTAGCCACACCCGTATTTCACTTTGGTCCAAGGTCTCTTCGTCTGCATCCTTTCCCAGTGCCATTCTCGCCACTAACGCGTCGGTAAAGTTTTCCGTGAAATAAAGTGCACCCCAAGCGTTCCCTTCCCTAACTGCATCGACCGCCGATTCTGGATCGGGATAATACAGCTTATGTATTGTGTTATTATTTAAATTTTCTAGATATCTGCAGCTGAGATTGCTAAACTTGCAGCCCGGCTGATATTTACAGTTTTGATATGACATATTGACGTAGCTCATTTCATGATTAACGATTGCGAGTTTCAGATCGGTAGGATCTCTGCCTATAGCCATACAAAACAGAATCACTTGCATTACGGGTAGCGCGAAGATGAACAACATAACTCCCACATTTCTCCACATTCTTAAAAAGTTCTTCTGAAGTAACGCTCGCATTTTTCCCACGGTGGTAATGTGCAAACAATCAGAGCAATTATCACATGATTCAGTGGTAGGTGACTTTGGTGGTGTTAGTGATGTTCCGCCATTTATCTAAAATATTCATTAGCAATACCGATGCGCGTAGAGTAAAGTGGTACCTCTAAGAGACTTCCGTCTTGTAACAGTACTTCTTTACTTTGATGGAAATTAAGGCCTACAACTCCGCTTTCCTCGGTAACAGAGATCGAATCTTTCTTGCCCCAGTTCATAGTTGCTAGACTAATATTGTTACTAATATTGGAATCCGCAGTGTTATTAGTTTGTCCTTGCTTTCTGGAAAGTTTCAGAAACACTTCTTCCAACGACTGGCATCCATACATTGATAAAAGAACATGCGGTGACTCCTCTGCTAAAAGTTTGCCTGAGCGCATTAGTCCTATCTGGAGAATAATACGTCTTAGTAGATTAACAATTTTGCTTGATTACTTACAGTGTGAGCAGATCTGGCTTCTTCGATGTAATGTGTGGTGATGATAACAGTTTTATTTCCATCTTTTGTAATTTGTACTAAGTGATTCCAAATACTTTGCCGAAGTAAAGGATCAACTCCAACTGTGGGCTCATCCAATATCAACAATTCGGGGTCATGCATAAGCGCCACGGCGAAGGAAACCCTACGCTGTTGACCACCACTGAAAATCGCAAACCGTTAATCCTATGTGGAAGTTTGGATGGACCTTACCTCAAATTTTTGACTAAACGACTTTGGCTGGGCAAATCTAAAAAGTTGAGCAAAAATTGTAATCGTTCGTTTATTTCGGATGTCCCCATGCCAAAAATCCATCCGAAATACATCATCGTTTCCCTAATCGAAAACTCTCCATATAAAGCTATTTCCTGTGGCATATATCCCACTCTCTTTCCGGGAACCCCCGAACCTTTCGTACCCGGTTTTCCACCCAACACCCATATCTCTCCCGTATTTAGTCTACGCCTACCGACTATACACGATAACAAAGTAGTTTTACCACAACCAGATGCACCTAGTAAACCATATCTGGAAAAGTTTGGTTTTGTAAGAACCTCGCCATTTTTCAATTAACTTACATTGTTCCTTTGGCAACTGTCATGTTGAGATTGCTAAGTACATGATTAGGATTCTTTTTTGATCCGTATGTTTTAAAAGCATGGCGTACGCACACGGCCTGTTGTCTTCGTACCCATACTGATGACTGTTGGTGTTGCAACTGGGGCGGTCGGTCTATGGCTACACCAACTAAATCTGGACTAGGAATGTTTGACGGTACAGGTTCAACCCTATCTCCCATTGCGGTATTTTCACTGTAACAAGAGAAATGGACCTATAGATTTGTGAATTGCAAATGATCAATGTTACACATTTTTTGATTGGCAAAACTGTCCCTTTACAAATGACATAATAGTAATTCACGTTTCGATTAAGCAATATCTTTACAACAAGCACGTCGAGGTCTTCACATCGCTTTACGTGACAAAAATTTGCAAATTATGCGTTCATGTAATGTTCCATTGTTCCCCTTTTCTTTTAGGAGAATTCAAAATTATGCAAACTGATCGGCATTAACGTAAACGTTTAACTACGCGGGCTTACCTCTTTTGTTTATGTTATTAAACAGCACGTTTAAATTTCTTATTTCTAGTTGCAAAATATGTAATATTTAAGTAGGTCACTACTTTGTGTACAAACAATGCAGGTAGTATTACTACCTCACTTTTTGCATTGGATTGCTGTTACAAAATTAATTTGCAACACGATATCTTCTTGATTTAAAAAGCGTGGTCTATCTATTATTTATATCCAATTATATTGATTGTAGAAAATTGAAAGTAGATTTATGTAATGAACGTAATGACGAAATTACTTCAACTACTTCATTATACAGCCGAATTAAATCAACGAGTTTTGATCACACGATTTAAAATCTAAGTTGGACCTCCACAACGTGGGTAACGGTGAAACAAGTAAAATGGCTAATTTTGTTGTTGCATATACACATTCAAGGTACTATTAGAAAACAAATCTTTGACCTTACGGTTTCTCAACGTCGCGTCGCGCCGAATTCTGAAGTACGTTGAGGCACCTTTTCTGCGTTTTAGGTATACCCTAACTCATGGCATTGCAAAATCAAGGTTTCCACAAGGAAGACGGAAAGTATTTGCCGATGTGCTAGCCCTGCAGATGGTAATTTCCATTTCTTTAGGCTCAATGCCAGAAAAAAGATGATTTTTTTTAACTAGGCGTGTGCAAGTCAAAACTCTCCAAGACGCTTCCAATGGACTAGATCGATTTGAAGGCCTCACTTTGTAACAAAAGACGTGTTCATTAATTTCCAAATTGGCTAAGTAACCTTTTCACAACCTAATATCCTACTCCGTCATTAGGCACATGCAATTCTTTGAATTGGAAATCATGCATACTTACACTAATTACGTTTCATAAATAATTATGTAACTTGCCATGATAGAATGTCTTCTAACTTAAAAGCGCAATAAAACATGTAATCACACAACCAAAATTATATAAACTAAGTTGGTTTTCTTGAAACCGTGACTTTCAAAGTTCCAATATTTTATTAAATGCACTGAACCATTTCCGCGTTATGAAATATCTAAAATACACATGTTGGATTACGGAATTGGATCCTTTATAAATTATGGATATTGTAACGGAATGTAAAATTCTGGTAATTCATAATTTACTTGCCATTAGTTTGTGGCAGCTATCATTATGATTCATTTACGAATCGAAAAAACCATATTACCTTTTAAACACGTGATTTAAGTGATTGCCTAATGACATTTCTGGAAGCCTGCTCAATAGTTATTGAAAATTTAAGTAATCTATACGACATTTTGTTTCAAGGATTCCTTACGAATTAAGAAATAGGAAGTTAAATACCAGACTTCGGATTTTTCCTGACCAAGCTTTTCAAATTTGTTTTCTAAATTCATGGTTTTTGGCGTGGAATGCAACAGAAATTTGCCATAAGATATGAGTAGTTAGATCTGCATGAACAATTTACGTAGAGCTTCGATGAATAACAGATTTGGGCTACACTTTGGGTAAAGTTGTATCTGATGAAGCTCCTTTTCCCTCCTTCTCCTTCCTAACTTTGATCCAATTGCGATATCCAAAGTAGCCTGGTGTTAGTTCAGTTCCAATTCTTTAAAATAAATAAAATTTAATTCCTCCCAAATTCGGTCAATGCCAATCTCTAACGAAAATGCCGAAAAGCGAATGCCTTAATCAAATTTTGACATCCGAAGTAGTTGTGACTTCTAGGGAGCTGTTATTCATATTTAAACTTTAAAGGACTCATAATAGAGGATTATATCACGAGTCAATAATGATAGCTATTATTCTCCAGGAATATTTACGAACTGAGGAGTAAAATTCCAAGAGTATAATAGAAATTATTGCGAGTAATATACTCTACTTTATCTACCACTAATTTAATAGCTTGGGATTTTATCCATTTTAATACAAAAAATATACACAAACAATACACGACCCGCTTGACATTTGCACTTGCACTGTTCAATTGCCTATTATAATTAATGCAATAACAGAAGAACTTTTCTTTTCGTTGGTAATACAATACCCGATCGTCGATTACACATGATCGAAATTCACGCAACCACTTTCAATACAAGTATAAGTGCATATTATCTTCTGAATATCAGTGTTACGTCACTTAACAGAACATCTATGTCACTAATCACAGGATAAGTAGGGCATAGTGTAGCGCTAATTACAAACTTTTGTAACGCCTACTAGAAAGTTTTTGTTAGGCAAATAATTAAAAACAAGGTTTTATGAATCATTGACAATATTCGAGATTGCACGTAAAGACCTATTTGGTTTTCTAAGAAAATTACGAGACACAAACTACCTGCTATCTACCGTAAAGAATTTTTGTTCATTTCTGAAGGTATGCAGTAACAATTTATTGAAACGAATTAACCTCTTTCTGCTTAACAGAAGTTATTTCTTGAACAAGACAACCCAGCGTTCATGGGAATGCTACTGGGGTGGAAAACCGTGGACAAGAGAACATCGCCCCAAATTTATGGCCCTCAACGAATACTGTTTCTTTCATGGTTGGGCAGTTTTATTAAAATGTGAACTGAATTTAATTGAGTAAACCTAGGAAACGCAGATGACAATCTCGCGAAAATCTCTGAAACTAGACGCTGATTACGAGAAAATCTGGGAAAGAATCCAACTGACAAAAACCACCACTAGCAATTTCTGTCAAGTAAACCGAGGTGGTACCCAGGCCCATGATTGTGATATTAAAATTCGCACTGGAAAATTATCAATCTAGTTTGGTTGTACATACTAACCGCAGCCACATGGCATAAACTGCACAAAAATTAAGACGATCCTTATATGCTCTGTCGTATACGAAAAACGTAGGTATCGATTTAACCTACTTTACACACTACACCACAGAAACCTTGGCCATGTTGATACTATATATAACTCTCGACAGGAAAGATTGCCGGTCACAGCACACCTTGTCTCGATTTACAATCTTTGTTTGTATTAAGATGCGAGCGACTTCTGGAATAGGATCATGCGAATGTTGAACAAAAAGTCTTTTCGTTCAACAATGACACGATACTATCCCGGAAATCGTTAGCACCTTACGAAAAACAGAGATTGTAGGTCGAGATCAAGTGTTCTGTGACCGGCAATCTTTCCTGGCGAGAGTTATATACAGATTTCGCTAAATACAGGGGCTGGAACAACGCTGCAATGGGCTAGTGTCTTTTTTATCCAATTATTGCGACAATTCAACCTGCGGTGTCGCATTTTTATTGGTTGACAGTTTTTCTCGTCTAATTGCTAGGCAACAGATTTTCATTACCTAAACAACCCATATTTACTCGGTAAAATACAAAACCTCTTGTGCAATTATAAGTGACAATAAGTGTTCCACAAGGGTCTAACCTTGGACCACTTATATTTCTTTATAAATGATGGCTTAACATGCAATCATTTATCATTTGCAAATGATTAATAGCAATAAGTTGCGAAATGAGTGTCTTTTAAGCACGCGACGTGAAAATTGTCCAACGAGACAAAGCCGAGTTGGACAACATGTCTAGTGACTAAAAGACATCTTTCGTAACGAATTATATACGAGATTTTTTTGTGAAAGCGGAGAATTTGGTAATTTTTGTTTGTTATTATAGTTATTATTAGTTATTTTGTTATGTTGTCTACAAAGGTTTTGTATTATAAATTTAACGACTCTTTTAAATTGAAAAAATTGTAAGGTTTGATAAAATCAGGAACGCTATTGTCGTCGGCCCTGACACTGTTATTTTTAGATCTACAAATAGGGCGTTTTTACTTTTTTTTGGTCCTCGTGTAGAATAGTTGTGAGAGAAGTCCTTGGTCTCAAAATTGTTTTTGTTTTTATGAATTTCCAATATGGTGTAATATATGAAAATAGATGGAAGAGTCATAATAATTAATTTTTTTACAATAGATCGTGCACGATAGTCAGCATTTACAATGACACGAATTATTATTTTTTTTGCAATAAAAAAGTCTTGCGCGCTTTGGAAGAATTACCCCATAAAATTACACCATATTGTAAATGAGAATGAACTAAGGAAAAATATTCGAATAAGTCAAAAAGTGAAATATGTGAAGGTTACTGAATCATACAGTTATAACTAATCTTTTATCACAAAGTGTAACATATATTTCTGAGTTTTTCAAAGGTCAATACATAGAAACGATTTTAAAAGAATTAGAAATTAATGCTGAATGAATTGTTACCATTTTCTATTATGCAAACAGGATCTTGAGATACGTGTCATGACCATTTTACCAAATAAATTGCACTTGTTAAAGGAGTAATGACCCCGAATCATTTGCATCATTAAATACCAGTACTCTATTTCATTAATTTTTACCACGAAGATGTTTTCTACCATTAAACAAGAATTAAAAATTTCTCTTACGCTGACCACTTCACCGTACATAATTTTTAACTTATTACGACGTTACGTTACTTGATTAAAAATCTTAATAAAATGCTGTAATACTTACGAGCGATATAATAAATTAAATCTTACTTTCATTTCAGAGGAACAGGTTGGAAAATCTCGTGGAATGTATTAATTCATCTTTGTTATTAAGTTAAAAAAAAGTGCAATTACGTATCGAAATGACGTGTTTTTAAAAAACTGCACCACGCTAAAGAGAAAGTATACTTTATCGAGCAAAGTTACGGTGAAGCCAAAGGTGACTGGCCGAATATGTAAATGCCCGTACATCATTAGGCATTTTTTAAAGAACGATAGGAAAAACCATTAGATTTGTATTGTAATCTCATATTATACCGGTAACCAGTTCATTTAAAAAACCCATCATGCCCAGAGTTGGTTAATTTTTTAGAATAATTGAGGCTAGAATGGAATGTTATGAGAATGAGAATTTTACAGAAATTACTAGAAATATAATAACAATTTATTTTTAAAATAAAATGCAATTAACAATATAAACTTGCCCATTGTTCAAAGCGGAAACAAGGTGGCAAACTAATCGGTGACATTTATTATAGTTGTCTTTATAGAAATATTTTTTTAATATACTTCATTGAAATCACCTTATTTACACCTGTATTAGAAATAATGGTATCTGGCTTTTTCCAGGCTAGCGCACGGAAAAACTTTTCCCGGTCCCTTTGATTCTTTCCGTGCGCTGAATATAAATACCCAAAATATTGCTTTAAAATACAAATTCACAGGGAAGTAAACTAATTTTCAGAAATTCTATATGCGTTGTAATGTTTCATATGTAAGTATTTTGCGTTTTAATTCGTAGATGTTTGAATATTTAGATAAACTTCTTTGAGATTTTGTGACATTTTTTGACGTTTCGTCAACCTTATCTGAAATAAACTAATTAAACAAATCGCCTTTGAAATGATTTGAGAGTAACCATGAAAACGCATTTTCTATAACTGTTACAAAATAAAAATGTTAGCGAGTTTGTTGTTTTTTATGTTACCGATTTAAAAGAAGTATAATAAAAAATATCGTTCATTACACGTCCAGAAATGCTTTTTCCGTGCTTGCATGACTTCCCGTGTTCGGCTACGCCTCACACGGAAATTTGCCACGCGCGCACGGAAAAGGCCTGCTTTCCGGACTCCTAATGTAATATACTATTCCATCGTACAATGTACTGGGCACTACATTTTCATTTTGAAACAGATACAGTTCCACTGTTGTGGTCAATTTTTTTGTAAACGTGTCGATTTATACTTGAAAAGTCAATCTAGTGAGGTGTCAAATAGTTTTTTTAAAAAACAAGGATTACTCCAAAAAATCACGATCATAGCCATGGTAGAATAGCTTTCGTGTGATGCGCATTTTTATTATAGATATTGATGAACACGGTTGATCACGATATTTCAATAGCGGGAAGTAACGATGAACTCAAGACAGAAACTGATCATTACTGCATTCAAAATACGTGTCTATATCTGCTCCGTATATAGATCGACATACATTTTATGACTAGGCTATTACGATTAATTATCTTTTTGATTTCACTGCTATAAAAATTCAGACTGTGTGAAATTAATTAATGTAACTGATTTCTTAAGTACCCAAAAAACTGTTCATGGGATAAGTCGAAGCTGATATGGGTTCTTTGTACAAAAGGACCGCCATATTGAATATATTTGGATTCAACTAAACGTTTTTGACAATGAATGATACAAAATTTCAGGTGGTTTACATGATGGGATTCTGAGTCACCATGTGTAACAAAAATCTGTGGTAATACGAAAAATTTGGGGCTTTAGATCAAAATCTATATGTACCACTCGAATGTATCATTTATTTCGTTTTCCCAGAACGAAAATAATGTGGAATTAACTGGCAAAGTTACACTATTTACAAATTCTAGAAATTTAAATACGTTTCTAAATCAGCTTTAATTAAACTTAAAACCTACGACAATCATTTAATTTAATTTAAAACAGATTAGTACCGCTATTCAAAGAGGGAATGCAAGTTGTATTAAGGAATCTTTCAACAAGTCTTTCAAGCTAGAAGAGATTTTTTATTTACTCTGAATATTGTTAGTGTTGAAATTATTTGTGAAATGTGTTTTAAATTAAAATTAAAAAAAAGGATCTTGTACGACTTACAGATTTAAAACCATTTAAAATTGAGAATTATAAATTTTAAAAGAATCACAATTCTAAATGTCGTGAAAAACTACTGCAGATCGTACTTATTTTATAAGAGCGCAATTTTTAGAGCTTCGGAAATCTAGTTTTGAAAATTTTGGGAAATTGAAGTAATGAAATTTAGCCCCTGTTACAAGAACCAGAATACTTTTAGATAGGTATACACTGTGTCCAAGGTAAGGATATTAGGGGATCTCGGAAACGAGAAAATACGAAAATCGTCAAATTAGAGAAAATTCCGATGACTTCCGAAGATATGCCAGAAACCCCAAAGTTTGCCGATTTTGTTTTTATTTTATCTGTTATTTCAGCAGATACAAAAAAATTTACAAAAAACACTTTCTCATTGCCACTCGTTTTGCCACTTTTTGGGCTCTACAAGACACCGCTGTGAGAGTTATTACTAATACAACGATGTACGGATTACAAGGAAAAAACAAAAGTCCAAAACTGTTGGTTTCAACAGGATGGTGCACCTCCGTTCAAAGCCCTAATCGTGGTTTGGGAGATCCCTGTGATAGACATCCTTATGGTGGCCACAGTGCCACAGTTCTAATGTATTGTTTTCCAACTTTTTGGGTATATGTAAAAGCCATCATGTGAACATATTTTTTGGAATGCTATTGATAAGAGCTTTCTAAAAATATAACACATCTCGCTTTTCATCCTCTCTCAGGTGGTTGTCCCTGAAAGTTCAAAATCCTTTCTTACGTCGTGTGCCAAATTTCAGCTTCATAGCTCGAGCCGTTTTTAGTTATCGTTGGAACAGACAGACGTACAGTTTTTGTACGATTTTCATACAGTACCACTTTTCGTGGTAATTAGTAAACTTAAGCAACTTTTTAAAACAAATTAAGGAATATAATTACGATCTATTTATTTACATAAATTCAAATATGTTACTGAGAATAAATGAATCAACAGAGTACATTTAAACTTGCGCAAAACGCAACCTTCAATTTTTTGTTGTACTTTTTTCGTGTTTTTTTTAACGTCAAGGGTAATAAAACTTGCTAATCCACTAGAGAATGCATTTTATTAAAGCCCAGATAGATAACCTTTGAATTGCTCGTATCTGCTATCAGGCCGTTCTAGCCTTCCAATGAACTTCAATGGGATGGTGATTTTAGACCACTAATAAGGTTTTTAGGAGTGTTTTTGAGCTTTCACACAAACTTAGGACAACGGATCTTGACCGCAAGATAAAGCGGGCGTTAACCGCTGGGGTAAATAGGCAGTGGTAGTAATAAAACATCGTGGCACGTTTTATGAGAATGTTCCTGCCATTATTTTAACATCTTATTCGCTACTATTAAAGCACGTAAATCATACACAGGTTAGGGGCAAAAACATTTTAAAGACCCAACCACCTATTGTCAACAACATAAAGACTAATCTAGAACAATCATCTTCTACTTCAAAACGTACATTTGAACTTTTTTGCGAAATTTTGGGTCTAGTTCATTAACATAACGAATATGTAGCTGGAAGTTTGCGGATCCATGAAATTCCAAGTTTTAGTTACGTAACAAATTAGTGGGATTTCACACTACACACTGAATCAATAATTTACTAATATTTGCCAATATCCTGTACATTTTCCGCAATTTTTAAACCTCCGAGTGTGGCGTCACAAACTTAATTTCATGATGTAAGTGCGTAAAACTACAACTAACAGTGACAAATTACCTAAAAATTTAGCATTCTTGACACACTTATTTGTGGTCATTGAAAATTACAATCCATTTTCTCTCAAATTTGTGAATCATTTGGAATAAACAATTTGTCCCAATCAATATCTCATTACTGTAGCGTACAGAAGTTGGTAGGAACATCCGAAAATGATAATCTCCCTAAATGACAATGGAATGTACGAGTAATTAAATAAGTACTGATACATCATTTCCAAATTTTATGCCTAACATGGAAGCTAAATCGCTCGTTACAAAAGTTTAGACGGCCACCTGATTGCGTAATGAAGTATAACCAAAAGTAAAATGTTACTTAGTTTCACCTACTTAATATTAATTAAGTATATTAAAACTTACATCACCAATAAGGAACACTGCAATTTTGATAATTGAAGTTTAACGATACGTTGAATACTTTTCGATTAAGGGATATTTTTTACAGTTAATAGTGCAATGTAATGGAAATTTTAACCTCCTAGTTGTAGTTGTCCTTGTATTAAAATTTTTTTCGTCTCTACCTGTGTCTCAACAAGACTGGTTTTAATTTTTATTTTTACTGAGGTTAACGCTGAGAATGCAGATGATGGTAGGTACCTATTTTTTGAATTTTTATCTAATAGCCACAGTGACATTTGAAACAGATTCCTCTCATGCGCGATACTGATTAATTATTATCTAAGATATAATTTCTGAATTGAAACAAGGTAATAGCGTTTATGTATGGGAAGGTAAACCACTACACATAGATGTTAGTTTACTTACGTTATAAGCATCTTCTTGATGTGAGAATTACGTATATCAATAGATAAAAGGAAATGTAAAAGTTGTCGGTTACACAACTAAACTTTCACTGTAAAATTGCACATGGTGTTTAGGTCATTTTTGTCTTCTTCTTAAAGGAAAATCCACAAACTTGCGTTTTTGGCTTTGGTAATTAGTAAATACAGAATTTACCACACAACAAGTTTCGAAAGTAGTCGTAGGTTATGCAAATGATCTATTTCCCTTTCGTTTATACACAATTCACTTTTATTGAACCGCGCGCGTAGATTTAATTTACGATTTAATAGCGTCGGCGGTTTTGAGCTGAACTGCCGTTCAAATCACCAATTTCCTTGCAGTAGTAGTAGTGCAGAGTCCCCTCTACGCCAAGAAAACCTTTGAACAAATTAACTTTGGGACGTAGAATTAACGACATTTGAATTACGGAATGAAGGCGAAAGGAGGGGTTTCACGAGTTGTACAAATTTACCTACTCATTGATGACGTTTTCGTCTGCCGAAGAAATATTTTGGGTCAAAACCACTTTAAGGTCAATCGGAAGTAATTGCAAAGTCACAGGCGGCGGCTATAAATTTCTTGTTTTTCTTTAAATGAATTTTACGTCAAATGTAACCCTGGAAATTAACACTTATTTAATTAAAACACAAGGGTTTTTGACAAATTAGATTGATTTGGAATTTATAAATAGGCAATTATGAGTGATGATCGATAATTCCGTATTACTTATCACCAAATTCAGAGGGGGCTAACATATAAAGGACCGATTTTCAAAGCAACGGAAGGTATCAAAAACTTTTCATTAAATATGCATCAAATCTAAGTATTTTATTAAAACATCATTCCTTCAAACAACAAATCTGAAGGTGTCAACTAGTTTAAAGTTGAAGGATTCACTTCCAAAGATTAAAAAATATGAGGTCCGTCCGTCACACATATTGCTTCTACACCACTGAACCGATTTGGGCGATGTAGGGTTCATTTGAAATGACTTGGTCCAAGGATTCCGTGCATATCGATATTCTTTGGTTTTGCACATGCGCAGTGTCAAAAATTTGGTTTATTTCATACTGTCCGGTAGATGTTCGATTACACTATCATTTTGAGTCCGGTAGGTGAGTTATTACAGCATCCGAGCCGGTAAGTGTCGCTAAGCAACACTTACCGGACTGTTATTTGTATACATCAAATTTGACATCTTCACACAATTAATTAAAAACCCCAACATAAATTTGGCTGTAATTCTTTATTTCAAACATTAACATTGATTGGAATGAAACAATTTGTATTGCCCTCAACACTACGCCTGGGTTATTACTGAATGCCGAGTTAGTAATGTTTGATTCCTTCTGCTGTAAAACTTCAATGAAATTTTCGCCGCCTTGTATCAGTTGTATCATACGGGCAATCTTAACTTTTCCTTCTACCGAGCCTTCGATGTATTTTTCTGCCGTCGATGAGCTTTTCCATGCTCCATGACGCTTTAACACCGAAACCCAGGCAAAAAAATCTCAATTCAAAAACTTACTGCGTCCAAAAAGTATGCCAACATGACTTTTTCCTCTACTTGTTTCGCCCCATGTTCGTTCCTCAATTGGCAAAACACTTAGTACTCTTTTTCATACCTTGCGCGCCTGACTTCTTAGGAACCAACTTTTCGGTTGCTTCATGAGATTTCGACAGGATTGTATCGGGAACATTGGAACATCCCACAACGTTTATAACGTCAATTTTTCAGTGAAAAAAATTCAATTGTCAACAAACTACAAACTATAGCAACGGCCGTTGTCACAGAAACAAGGTAATGCGATTTTTACAATATGATGAAATTTTGTAATCTTTGAAATGAAAATAATGATACAAAACAGACTTACAGTATGAAATAATAGTACATTATATATCAAGGTAGAGAAGTCTACTATTATTGCCTGAGCACCAAGATTACATCTCGAGGCGCTTGCGCCGAGGGGTGTAAGGTGCGAAGGCAATAATAGACTTCTCTACCGTGGTATATATACTATTTTTTTCACTACTAGCACTTGAAATCCTCTAAATTAACATATTATATTGATAAGAGAGTTAACGGTTGGACAGAATTGTTTGTTTCTTAATTTAACATGTCAATCAAGTACGTGGAAGTACAAGTCAAACAGGCCGTATTTTGTTCTGTCATTGAGATTTTTCAAAGAGTAATTTCGTTCGAATTTTTTCAAAATGTGATAATTTTAGGTATGTAATTTCTCTGGAAATTGCGAATGGTGGCAATTATTCGTTTTAGAGAACTTGTCTAAACGTTCATTGAGCGAAATTTCGGGTTGTGTTTTCTAAAAGTGACAGCGTGACAGTTCTCATTATTGACTACTAGTTAATAATAAAAAATTATTAACCACTTTGAACAAATGCCGAGAAAGCCTACTTTACAAGTGGAAAAAAGGTTAATAATCATGTCATCAGACGCTAGTAGTGAAAAAAATACGTTACGATATACGTCCGGTAGTACTTGTAACAGTACTCGTTTAAGACATTCTTGACTCGGCTCCTGACGTCGCCTCGTCCATAATGTCTAACTCGTACTGTTACAAGTAACCTACCGGACTTATAACGTAAATAACTATTAACGCATGTGCAACCAAGTCAAAACTTCAAACCCGAATTGCGGGTGACCGGAACATCGGAGGTGGGTACCGACAAAGGGAATATGGTAGCCTTCGATCTTATTGATGGTGGAGTCAATATTGGCTAATAAAACACTGATCTGCCACACAACAATGCGCTGAAGTACCTTCGATCTTACACGAGAACTTTGATAATTTTTTCAAGATATCAAGAAAACGTGAATGAAGAGGTAGGTTAGAAAGACGCGAAGAAAGACGGCGTAAAAGAAGGGCATGGGTACGAACAGCCAGTGAAGCAGACGAGACGAGAACTTGGAAAGAAAGAAGATGCGAACAAGTTGCGATGAGGAATAAAGGAGACGGAGAACGAAGGAAGATTGCGCGGAGGAAAGTCGTGCAAAATTCCAGGCCTCTATATTCATGATAACCTTAAGTGGCAGACCCACAACTTAACCATTGAACAAGACCTTATTTGCTAAGACAACATTCAGATTTTCACACCTATAACACCAGATCAAAAAAATTAGAAGTGAGACCTCAAAATCAACAGTACTGGACAAATATTTTAAAAATCATAATAAAATCACTTGCCTAATGAGATAAAGCAAGTCTCTGGACCAGTAAAAGCAAAATTAGTAAATACTTTGAGACATTTGCTTTTTACTCCACGCAAGCGTATTTTTACCCACCTGATAATATCATTAGGTATAAATGTGTGACAAATTCGTATCATAGTCGTTTGTATATCATGATCCCATTCCCATTATGTTTTACTTCAATTTATTATTATACAATAGTTTTTGTCTACTACGTTTTATGTGTTTTATGTGTATTTATACATTATACAATGTATTGACTTCTACACCATTCGGTCACGAAATAAAGTGCATACATATACTTACAATAAGACCGTATGGAAATGTCATACTTAATGTATGTACATTTTCGAAAAATCCCTGGACACATTAATTTTATCTTGGAAAAGAACGTTTTTAATGAATAAACTCTTCTACTTCATCGCTGTGAGCGTGGTCGAAGAGGTATTAATACAGAAGGACGGGTAGATTTGTAGACTCTCGAAGATTAATAAAGACTGGCTCTTCAGGACACGTTTAAACACTCTTACAGCTTGCCAATAAAGGTTTATGAAAGCTTTTTCAAAGGTTCTCAAACAAATTTTCCTTAAGTTGGCCAACTTGAGAACGGTAGATCCCTTAATAGGGATATTTTGTTTCGTTTTGTTTTATTAATTTAACTTAATAAATTAAAATCATTCGTTAGGAAACATTTTAGGCTCATTCTATTTTTGCCGTTCGGTTAGAATCGAAAACTTCTACTAATGGCAGATTTGTTACGCTTTTCATAAGTCCACGTTCATAAAATAAATAAGTAAACACCTTTTCTGGAATACGCAAGCCAAGCCTCACTTTTTTCTCATACTGCACACCCATAGTCATAGCTAAATTAAATAAAAAATGAAAGTAAATGTTACCTACAGTGTCTAATTACGGAGTTACCTAGACCATTACCACTTTTATTTAAATACAGCCATTAAGCAAAAAAAGTATGTTCAGCCAACCAAATCTATTTTGTACAACAACAGTAATTTGTGGCAAACTTCGCGAACACACAAGTAATACCATGCAAAAATCAGATGGTAATTCGCGAGTGTGTGATTGGCGTTTTAATTGTTTAAACTTTGTCCACACAACATTCAAGATCTCTTTGATCTTTAAAAACGAATGAATTAGTAGTGGTCATCAATTATATTTGGTCAGGGTCCAATTTAGGTTTTCTCAAGTCCGTCGCGAGCCGGATAGTGGTTCCTTCGCTATCCCTATGCTTTTAGAAAATGACATTCCGTAATAATAACTTGTAAGATGTAACTGTTGTGTTTTAACCAGTAATGCAATTTTTGTACACTTTGAAATTTCATGCAGACGAGCAATATTACCAAAGAAAGGCCTGGTTGGAGTACACAGTCTGCATTTTATTGTATTTTACATACTACTTAAAAATTGTTTTGCGGGCCGTTCCAAACAAGTTCGCGATCCGGACCTGGCCTTTGGGCCAGGCCACTGAATTAGAATAATTCCGAGTTTGTATGAAATACATTACATGCTTGTGAAGTGGCATAAATTGAAACGAGATAAACCATATCTGCGAATAATTGCTTCTTTTACAAATGACATACAAGTATTAATGCACATATGATGTAAGGTGTTCATTATTGCGTTAATTGTCGGATAAGCGTCAATGAGACTTTCATGTTCGCATCGCTAAAGATTGTTACCTGACGACGATGTTGCAAATTAGCAAAAAAAACATGCCACAAATTAGCGATAGTTACCTTCCGTATATGTAAGCAAATTTTTTACTTCTTAGACCGTATATGCATACACAATAGTAATTATTCACTAAACTGGTTATGGTTACATTCGATCATATAACTGGCCTTATGAAAGAAAATCAGAGTTCTTCAATTTTAGTTTTATGCCATGAGTTATGGAATATCATTTATCTATTGCAGCAAGTAATAAAATAATGGTAAAGTGCAGCATGAGCGTTACGTACATTTACTGTAATTATGTATTAACAGATAAGGAAGTTTAATAACCGGAACCAATTTTGTTTATTGTTTTAATTACCGTACAATATTTAATAGTTACATCATTTCAGTCAAACTAATGTAGCATTACAACATACCGCCAATTTAGCTGATTATACAATATATAAGTAAGTATATAAGCCGAATTACCCCATTCCCCCAATCACAATTAACATTTAAATAAAAAATGCCGAACTATTAATTATTTCTACTTTTTTCATTCATAAATAAGTAGCGCAATGTTAAATATACGACTGTTAGATTGCTACATCCGCCATTGAATCGCGCACCGTGCAAAAAGTGGTTCATTTCGCCCCTAAGAAAAAAAAAACAAAATTCCGCCACGCAAGAGTTGTGCGTGTTGACAAGATCTTTCCGACGACACAAAACTGTGGAAGAAAAACTGAAAAATCTCCAGGTTTAAGTTTTAAGTTTTTTTAAGTTTATTTACATTGTTAAATATAAAACATACGAGACGCTACAACGAATTAAAATATTCTTCAAATATTCCTTCTCTATTATAGTAGATATGATGTTGATGCGTGTTTAAAGCTTTTTGACGTTGTGAGAGATTGCTGTTTGGAAATTTATTGAACAGTTTTTTTACCAATATTATGGCGATTTGGCTTTCATGTTACCTCTGAAGAAGGATATGCGCAGTTAGGTTAGTATAACACGCTCGGGGATGGCGTCCGGATGTCGCCGACCCCAGATCTTGAAGCCCCGTCCCTAAAGTTTTTAAACGGCCCCGATAGGTACATGTACGCGCCTCGTCTTTTTACAAGCGGTCTTCTACGGGCTCGCATTTACTACCGCGAGCCAGCGAGTTACCCAGCCAGCCGGCACGGGCGATGGGTGAGAATTTACAATTCAAATTAACAAAACCCCTGCGCACTGTTAAGTAAGTACCGTATCGACAGTATCCGCGACTTTTCCGGAATCTACAGTGCAGCGCGTTTACTAGTTTACTGTAGCTTTGCATATTCTATCATTAGCTACCCGATCATTGCCTTTTTTTTTCTTCATAACTTTTATTGTGTCCTGTTGACAATATAATATTGTATTAGGACGTGAAAAGAGCGTTTTCCATGCAAAGGCGCTGTGTGCGAATATAGTAATAGGGAGGACTGCCGCAATTTTTACATCGGTAGCGTGGATTTCGCAGGCCTTTTTACCATACGTGAAAATCGTCGGCCCAAAGCACCTACTAGTAATGTATGGATTTATCTGTATCTGATTCCTCCATCAATTTGTCCCAAGTGCTGAAACGTATCACCTACGTAAAACACACATCCATACTAGACTACGACGATTACCACAAGACTTACTACTGTGAAGTGAAGTGATGAATATTGTACATTTCTTAGATCGTTTCGTAGACAAACGGGTCTTTGCGCGCGCCGCGAATTCAATTACAAGCACTTATTTATTAGAAATTACAACACTAATGTATTGTAATGTAAATATTCATTCTAATTAGACTGTAGTTTTTGGTTTGGCTAACCAGAACAATGTGCAATTAATTTAATGGCTACTGTAATATCCTGACCTTCGACTGATAAAAATGGTATAGCAGACGGATTAAGTATGCAATGATTAATAACCATTTATCTATCCAATCGGATCAATTGTGAATGCATTGAAATTCTTCTACACACTTAAAACCTCCCATGGCAGCAGAAATAAAACTAATTTGGACAAGAAATTATAAATATTCATATGGCTAACCGCAAGGGATTTTTTATCATTACTAGTATAATTTACTAAAACAATATTTAATATTAGGTTTGTTAATGGCAGTGATGGAAAAATGAATAAAATTCCCATTTTACTGTCTTCAAATTTTAATGATGGAAAAGTTTCATGGATTTGTTCACAATTCGCAATTACAACTTAAGGTATTCCGTTCTCAGGATATTTGGAATTTTGTTTCATCAATAATAAACCAAAGTTTAAACTCATTAATTAAGAATCTAGATATGAAAAATGTTTGGTATAACTCAATCAGGGACAATATTGACTATGTGAATTGACAAGAACTTAATAAGTTGTTATGCTATATTGTTTGTGAAAAAGTTTATACGGCCATTTTCTCATGCTTAATGACACATGCGAAAGAAGAACTGTTAAAATACGATTCGTGAGAATCCGATTCACAGGGGAATATTTTTGCAAATATATTGCCACAAACGTCTGATCTGAAGACAAGGTGTGGGTACATGAGCATAACGACATACTCATTTTTCCTAACTTGTTCGAATAGAAGCATATTCAATTCATACAATTAGTAGTAGTAGTAAGATACCTACAAGGTGAAATGCAAGGCTATTTTATCCAACATTTATGTTATAAGCGTTCATCTCAGAATTTTTCGTCATAGAAACATCACAAAGTTGCCGCTTGATGCCTTTCAACTCGATTAAAGAGTAAATTGAAGTAAAAAATACAATTCTTGATTTTACACATTTTTTAAAAAACTAGGGGAAAAATTTTGGAAAGAATAGCTCCAAGAGGCTTTAAACGAAAAAGAGCTCGATAAAAAGAAATAATAGGTATAATCCGAAACAAAGCAATACATTATGGTTTAAACTTGAACCAGTTTTGTGTATATTTCAACATGCATGCAGTTTTATGTGGTGATACGAGATGCCCTTATAATCTAACCATGTCTGGTTTCTATGTTATCTAATCTCTTACACTAAAAGTTCGTCTGAGTCACAAATACCATACCATCATATCACATCAGTCCTCCATCCATTACTGGCCTCGACCGGAATAAACCAAAAATCTTCCACGTACCTTTTGGATTCATAACCACCAAAAGTCTCCGACTGTTACATGTTCCTTAAATGTTGAAAAGCGTGGGAAAAATTGGAAATGGTGATATTACATGATGGACGAGTAGCTTAAACTAATTTTGAACTGCGCAAAGACGCCGTAAAAACAACTATGATTTTGTTTACAAATGAATTAAATTGACGGCAACTGAATAATATTTTAACAATCCGCAATTATTCAGTTAAATGAACTGCCAAATAATTCGTACGAACAATCGCAGTCTCGCAATCGTGAGAGACTGTAAATAAAAAAATCCGATTTCTCAAACATGGGAACAGATTTTGCAAATGAGAAGCTTTTCTTTTAAGCGATTTAATTTTAACACAAATGAAAATAAATTTAAAATGAGACAAGAACATTGAAGCAACCTCGTCAGTAACTGCAAAATTGATCAAATAAAGTTAAAAAAAAACTTCCTTTGAAAGCCGCTTTCAATAAATTAGAAGACTGGAAGCATTCAAGATGTGGACTTGGAGAAGGTTGTAAAATATAGTGATCAGGAGAAACACAATTTGAAAAATAATTAAGGTTAAAGTATGGAAATTCCTTAACAACCACGGATTGAAAATGCCTTATGATTCGCCAGCCTTCTAGTTTGTACGACGACGTAGTGGGGCCAAACTCATAAAAAATCGCAGAATTCTGAGAAATACATTAGATATAACTAGAAATAACATTCTCAATTCATTTTTCAATTACACAGCGGCACTGTTTGCTGTTGTATAGCAAATCCCCAGATGGGCTATAAACCACATAATAAAGTGTTTACCGCGGAATTGGAGGCTGAACTAGCAGAATATCTCAAATCATCAGCGAATATTTTTTACGGCCTCACCCCAAAAGAAGTTCGAAATTTAGCATGCGGTTGCAAATGAGCGAAAATTTCCCCATAAGTGGCATGAATTTCAAATGGCTGGTAGAGATTGGTTTACTGATTTTATGAAACGAAATCCAACCCTTTCTATTCGAAGTCCCGAATCAACCAGCATTCACGTGCATGCAACTTCAATGAAGTAAACGTTGGAAGATTTTTTGACCAACTTAGCAGTGTAATGCAGAAATATGGTTTTGAACCTCAGAATATGTATAATTTAGACGAAACTGGCGTTACGACAGCACCAAAACCCGACAAAATCGTAGCTTTAAAAGGTGCTAAACAAGTTGATGGTATTAACTCACACGAAAGAGGAACTTTAGTAACGCTTTGCGTGGCTGTTAATGCAGTAGGGAACTTAATACCGCCAATGTTTATTTTCCCGCGAAAAAACTACCACGATCACTTTCTAGCAGATGGACCAGTTGGTAGTATCGGGGCAGCAAACGGATCTGGATGGATGCAAAGTGCAGAGTTCTTGGTTTTTCTCAAGCATTTCGTAAAGCATGCGAGGCCATCTCTAGAAAATAAAATACTTCTGCTTTTGGACAACCACGACTCACACATCCAAATTCAGGTAATACATTTCTGCCGAGAAAACGGAATAGTGTTGCTATCGTTCCCCCCGCACACTTCCCACAAATTACAACCTTTGGATAGGTCGGTATATAGGCCCTTGAAGAAATATTTCAATACTTCCGCCGATGATTGGAGGAAAACTCATCCTGGTGAAACAATGAATATTTATCATTTACCAAGTCTTGTCAAGAAAGCTCTCCCTTTAGCTGCTACACCGTCAAATATTCAGGCTGGCTTCAGATGTTCAGGAATTTACCCATTTAATCGATTTATATTTCCTGCTCATGAATTTGCTCCAGCAGAAGTTACCGACCGTCCAATGGAAGAAGCAGGCGACTTGCATGATAATGTGACCGAACAACCATTTCCAGGGGAAACAACACCTCCTCCAGTCTTACCAGTTTCGCGTACGACAACTCCACCAGTCGAACTTAATTCAGAAGCACAGATCAGTAGGGAGATAAATGATGAAACGAATAAGAACATCTACGCGGCAGGTCCTTCCAATTCGCGAAATTCCTCTATTATTTCTCTAAAGGAAATACGTCCATTGCCTAAGGCTAAATTCGACAAACCGAAGCGAAAAGGTAGGGCCTCAATGAAGAGTGCAATTTGGACAGACACGCCTGAGAAGAAGCAGTTAGAGCAGGGAAAACAAAAAAATGTCCCCAAACGAAATTTCGCAAAAAGTAAAAATGGGAAGCTCGTCAAGAAACGGAAAACTACTACACCTGTTCATGATGTAAGTAGTTCAGAAGAGGAGGAATGTTTCTGCCTGGTCTGCGTAGAGCCATGGTCTTCCAGTACTAATAGAGAGGTTTGGGTGCAGTGTCTTTCTTGTAAACGGTGGTCCCACCAAAAGTGCACCAAAGGCGATGATCTCTATTACTGCCACAACTGTGAGTCCGAATAGAGTATTTTCTACCCAAGTATTGTTAAAAGTTATGTAACAAAAGTACCTACATATAATAAAGCTTTGACTTGAATTAAAATTGAAATGTTACAATCGACCCTGACCGTGTTACTTTTGACCCTAACTGGGGTCAGTAGTAACAAGTTGCAACCATTAACTCGAAATAAATTGTATGCTTCTCATGGATATAATCTGCAAGCTTTGCAATACAATAATAAACATCATACTCTGAGGTATTTCTGTTTCGAATTTGAAGTCAAAACATTACATAGTTCGCGAGTTAGACCCGTAAATGCAAAAAGTGTTACATTTGACCCCGATCTCCCCTATCAGCACAATCCAAGAGCGACTACAGAATACATACTTTCCAACTGTTGATGCTAACTCTAAGACATCATGCATTTCAAAACAATGCTTCTGTAAAATTTTTAGGTGTACATATTGACCCTGTCTTAAACTTTGGAGTACATGTCGATTTTATTTGTAAAAAAATTAGCAAAAACATATTTGTGTTACGACGTTTATCCGATAATGTCTCAAGGAACGTTTTAGTGAGTGCTTATTATTCGCTAATACATTGCATATTAAGCTATGGTATCTTAGTCTGGGGAAATTGTCCTGCAGCGCGAAGAGTTTTTGGTCTCCAACGACGTGCAGTACGAAGAATAAATGGTCTTGGATATAGGGATGATTGCCGAATGACTTTTATTGACCTAAAAATATTAACCTTACCATCACAATATTTGTTAGATAGTATTATGTATGCGAAAGATAATCTTCATCAATGTAAATTACAAAGTGATATACATCATCATTTCACAAGATCCCGAACTAACATAAGGCCAAACTATTGCCGTTTAGCCAAGACGCAAAATGGACTAGTGTACGTCTCCCAAAAACTCTTCAATCGTCTTCCAACGCAAATAAAAGAGTTGACTAGACTACAACTAAAAAAGAAATTAAAAGAAATACTATTAAAAAAAGCATATTAAGATACAAGTGTATAATCAAGTCTTTAAAGCACGCGCAACGAGTAAATAAGTAAGTATAAGTAAGTAATTTATTGTGTTAATACATTTAAAAAATGCTTACACTCGTCCGTCGAAATCGTATAACACATAAAACACATAAAATACATGAGACATATAGAACAATATTAAATAACATGAAAAATCATTTAGAAATAAAACAATTAAACCAAACAAACAAAAAAAAAAATATACATACAACAAAAAAAAACTTAAGGCGTTAAAGTCTTGAGGTCGTTATCTAAAAACTCTTGGATGTTATATATTGGATTTTCGCGTAAAAAAGTTTTAAGTTTCTTGGAAAAGAGTTGTTCATTTAGAGATTGGAAACAAGAAGGTAAACGGTTATACAACACAGGGCCCCAATAATTATGTGCCGCTTGCGACGTTTTTAATCGTAATCTATCATTATATATTTGATTTTTGTTCCGAGTATTGTAAGAATGAACATTTTTATGCGTTATATAATTTGATTTATTTCTATGAACGGACAAAACTGAGTCAAAAATGTATTGTGATGGAGCTGTTAGAATTTGCAACGATTTAAAGATATTGCGACAGTCCTCCCTGTAGCCAGCATTTACAATATTCCGCACACAGCGCCTTTGCATGGCAAACGTTCTTTTCATTGCTGTAGAATGACCCCAGGAAATGATGGCGTAACTAATGATAGAATGTGCAAAGCTATAATAAACGCACTTTAGAACCTTCACAGAAACTGAATTTGACAAATGTTTTAGCATATACGCAACAGATGCCAATTTTGCACAAACTTTATTTTCGTGCTGTCTCCAGGAAAGCCTGGCATCGATCTGCACCCCTAGAAAATTAATGGAGGCTATGTCTTTTCTACCAATATTTCTTAAGGAAAATTGAATTTTTTGTGTCTTACTATCGTTTATTACCAATCGATTGGCAGTAGTCCACATTTTTACCGCGGTTAGTGCATTATTAATTTGTTCCTCACTTTTAGTAGGATCAGTGGATGTAACTGTGATGGTTGTATCATCGGCATACAGCGTGAAGATACTATTCCGGTCTGACATGTAGATGTCATTTACATAAATTAAAAATAAAAGAGGTCCAATTATGGAACCTTGCGGAACCCCTAATGTGATATTTCGACAATTTGATTGTATGTTATTATATTGCACAAACTGTTTACGATTATTTAAATATGACCCTATTAACTGTGTGCTTTGACGAGAAAAATTATAAAGTTGTAGTTTTCCTAACAGTACATTGTGAGGCACTAAATCAAACGCTTTCGTTTGGTCGACAAATATTGACGTGCAAAACCTACGTGCCTCTAAGCTATGTATTACGTCTCTGGTGTAATTAAGTATCGCCGTTGTTGTAGATAGACCTTTCCTGAAACCGTATTGATTACTAGAAAAAAAATTATTTTCTTCCATAAATTTAGCAATCCTATTTTTTAAAATGACTTCAAATATTTTAGAAAAAACAGGTAAAATAGATATGGGTCTATAGCTGCCAGGTGCATTAATATCACCCTTTTTATAAAGGGGAATAACGCATGCTAATTTTAGGACATCTGGAAACGTACTGCATTGAAGACATTGATTTAATAACGATGTTAGTGGAGAAATAATAATGTTGATGATACATTTAATAATTTCAAAATTAAGGCCGTACGCGTCTCTACATTTGCTGGGTTTTAAAGATTTAAAAGAATCCCTAACTTCAATCTGTGACAACGGTGCACACACATTTAATGGAGATGAAGCCGTGCAGTGGGATGATAAATAAGATAGAGGATCAACAACACTGCTTCTCATATTATTAACTAAGGTAATAGCATCATTTATAAAGCCTTGATTAAAGGATTCCGCATCTATTTTGGAGGATTCAACAGTAGTTTTGGACTGACCTTTGATGACTTTCCAGATGGCTTTTGAAGAGTTTGTACATTTTAAAATGTACTTGTCGTGAGCTTCGATTCTAGCTTTTCTGATAGCCAAATTGTACTTACGTCTAAATGATCTTAATATTGATTTAATGTATTCACTTGGAAATTGAGAATAAATATCCTGTAAAAATTCTAAAGTATTTCTCATGACTCTCAATTCATCATTGAACCATCGAATAAGAGGGGCATGGTGAGTACTCTTTACATTTTTTTCGGGAAATGCTATATTGCATGCAGAGACAATTGTATTTATAAAGGTATTGAATTTGCATTGAACGTCGTTATCAGTATCTTTAACGAATTCAAAGCTACAATTATTTAATATATTATATAAAGCTATTTTACCAACCGTTGTAATCGGACGGCATTTAATTGGACCTTCATTTTTAATGGAGGAATTTTTTAGGGAAAGTTTAAGGGCACGACGCAAAGCGGAGTGCCTTTAACGTTGCCAGTGCTTTAAAGACCAATTATACACGTGTATCTTATAGTATTTTTTATTATACCTGCAGTGTAATTTAAAAATAGGAAATTCAATGAAATCATATTGACGTTATACTCGAATACATGTCTAATTAAGTGGGCTGGGTGTTCGTCATTTCACGATTGCCATGGAAATGTCACTTGACATTTGCTTATAAAAATCATCGTCTTTGGAATAAAACGATTTCCGTTGAAAAAGATAATACACCGTCCATTAAATCGATTGTTGTAAAATCTAAACTAACATTGGTAGGTGTAAAATCCAAATCCAGTAAAGCCTATTATAAAGAATATGAAAAGTTGTTTCCATGGATGAATAGGAAGTTACTTACGAATAAAGTTAAATGCATCCATAATGCTGGCATATATGAAGGAAATGTCAAAGGTATTTAAATCTTCTATATTTTGGTGCATTCATTCAAAACTTTAAAGCAGTGCTGCGATTAAAAAGTGGAACAGATTTGGAAGCATACCCTAAATTACGCGCGTTTGTGAAAGCTTCAACCAAAGGATAGGTACAAAAGCCAAAGAAATGTTCTGCATTTACAGAAAGCGACCTAAGAGGATTTTTTATTTCATCCAGATGACAGTTTCAAAAGTCATATTTGAAGTATCGTTACTTAGCAACTTTAAAGCACGTGTGTTTTAAAGGCCCTTTTTCGCACGCATTTGAGTGTTTAAAACGGAGATTGTGATTCAGGTATAATAAAAAAGCATATTACGCTATTGAAGAATTCAACTGTGATAATATATCTAGTCTTATATGAAACCTGTCAATTTATTTTATTTTTCGATTTTATCTTATATACTCTTTATTTATTCCACTTAATGGTAACTCGTGCCTGGAAGCTTATCAGTTTTGTATGTTCGTCCCATCATATGTCGTTTGTTTTTATATTACACCCTTGTGTCACATATATAATAAGTGTAATCGTAAGCTAAATTATTATTATTATTTTATCTAAATCAAAATTTTAATGTGTAGTGTACGTCCATATTTATATTTATTGAAAATTTGTACTTATATCTCGAATGTTGCTGTTCTATATTTACGTTATTTACATTGTGCATTATTGACATGTCAAAGCCACATTTGATACTCTGACAATAAATGATTTGATTTGGTTTGATTTGTTGTTCAATTTCAAATTTCGCGGTTCCCAAAAAATGGCTGCTATTCGCATTACTTTAGGGGATCTTGAGTAATGCGTTTGGAACTAATTTGGAGTTGACAGAAAAATCTAGACAAATGGCATGTTTTTAAAAAAAATGTGATCTATCGTAATTTCTTCATCAAAGATTATTATTAGATGTGACATAAATAAATCTACAAGCATTGTAATTGTAAAACTCGCAAGATGAACCCACAATTAGTCGTAGTACGTAGAATGTTTGCAAAAATTACAATTTTATAACGTTTTCTTCGCAAAACAAGAATGTAATTGTCTTCTAAGACTCATTATGTAAGCAGTTACACAAATTCTAATTCCGAATAGGTATAACCTTTTATTCCACCTAGTTATGCTAGCATAAATATATCGTCAATTTAACGGCAATTA